CTATTTAGGACATCCGCCATTCTATGAGTCTGCTGAGTATCTCACTTCCCATGTTGGATCACTCTCCCCTTTATTTATTCCATCGGTTAGTGTTAGCAGGTACTAGACTTGTTTATGTGCTCCCTTTGACTCTTAGTCCTTTCATTATGATCAATTGTGAACTGAAATTGATCACTTGGAATAGTGAGATGGCATTGGTACATGCCACCTTGATGGGATTGAATTGGAATCCCCTGGTATGTTTCTAACTCTACCATTTGGGGCAAGTCAGCTTGAGCATGTCCCAAATTATACATCTCTTCCCTCTCTTATTCCCACTCTTATGTTTAACAGGGATCACATTTCAGTTAATTTTTAACACTTAAGAATAACTGTGTATTAATTACAGAATTAAACCAGTCGTATTAAGTAGAACAGACAAAAAAACTACTAAGAGGGATAATGTATTAAGTTGTTCATTAACAGTCAGGGCTATGCTGATCAAGTCACCGTTTCCCATAGTGTCCATTTCACTTCAGGAGGTTTCCTTTTTGGTGTTCAGTCAGTTGTCACCAATCAGGGAGAACATATGGTATTTGTCCCTTTGGGATTGGCTTATTTCACTCAGCATGATGTGTTCCAGATTCCTCCATTTTGTTGCAAATGACTGGATTTCGTTGTTTCTTACTGCGGTATAGTATTCTAAAGAGTACATATCCCATAATTTCTTTATCCAGTCTACCGTTGATGGGCATTTAGGTCGGTTCCAGGTCTTAGCTATTGTGAATTGAGCTGCAATAAACATTAGGATGCAGACCGCTTTTTTGTTTGCCAATTTAAATTCCTTTGGGTAAATTCCAAGGAGTGGGATGGCTGGGTCGAACGGTAGGGTTCTCTTCAGGTTTCTGAGGAATCTCCAGACTGACTTCCATAGTGGCTTGACCAGTTTGCATTCCCACCAACAGTGGGTTAGTGTCCCTTTTTCCCCACATCCTCGCCAGCATCTGTTGTTGGTAGATTTCTGAATGTGAGCCATTCTAACCGGGGTGAGGTGAAACCTCATTGTGGTTTTGATTTGCATTTCCCTGATTGCTAATGACCTTGAACATTTTTTCATGTGCCTGTTGGCCATTTGGATTTCCTCTTTTGAAAAATGTCTATTGAGGTCCTTGGCCCATCTCTTAATTGGGTTGTTGGTTTTGTTTTTGTGGAGTTTCTTGATCTCTTTGTAGATTCTGGTTATTAACCCTTTATCTGTTGCATAGTTTGCAAATATTTTTTCCCATTCTGTCGGTTGTCTCTTCACTCTCCTGACTGTTTCTTTTGCAGTACAGAAACTTCTCAATTTGATGCAATCCCAATAGTTGATTTTGGCTTTGACTGCCTGTGCCTCCCGGGTCTTTTCCAGAAACTCTTTGCCTGCAGAGTCAGGTTTTTCTGCTAGGCTCAGGGCCGGTGCAGACCTGAGGTCGCTCTGCTTATGACGTATGTCCAAGATGGCACCTGCTCTTTGTCTTGCTCGCCCTTGAGAGGTGAGCGGAGAGAGAGAAACCCATGTCCGTACCAGTCACCTTTTTTTTTCTCTCTCTCTCTCTCTTCCAGTTAGCCTGGTGAACTTTCCACCCCCCCCCCCGGGGGTCGTTCCCTCTAGTCTCCTCTCTCCGCTTGCCTGCCGGTGTCTCGGGCTATTGAGGTTCGGCTCACCTCGCGTTCCAGCGCTGGTGTGTTGAGTCTGCCGCTGGTGTCCCGAACTGTGGGCTCCCACGCTCTCCACGCAGGTCCGCTCCCCTTCCAGCGCCGATGTGTGGACTCGGAGCCCTGGACGTCCCAAGTCTCCCTGCTGTTGTCTGTGAGGCACGCACTCCCCTTTGAGCCCTTGCGTGCAGACCCTGTGGCTTCCACGGCTCGGTCCCGCGGCTCGGCTTCCGCGCGGTGGGCGACCTTTTTCTCCCAGTAGGTCCTCCGATTCACGGCCACTCGATCCAGAAGAGTTTCCTCTGCAATATTTTCCTGGTTCTTTTTTCTGAGGCTACTGTAACTCCCCTTTTATTAAACTAAATTTTCCCAGACTATCGGTGCGCGCCCTCACTATTCCGCCATCTTGGCTCCCCACCTTTTTTTTTTTTTATTGACAGGCAGAGTGGACAGTGAGAGAGAGAGACAGAGAGAAAGGTCTTCCTTTTTGCTGTTGGTTCACCCTCCAATGGCTGCCGCAGCTGGCACACTGTGCCGGTCCAAAGCTGGGAGCCAGGTGCTTCTCCTGGTCTCCCAAACGGGTGCAGGGCCCAAGCACTTGGGCCATCCTCCACTGCCTTCCCGGGCCACAGCAGAGAGCTGGCCTGGAAGAGGGGCAACCGGGACAGAATCCAGCACCCCGACTGGGACTAGAACCCGGTGTGTCGGCGCTGCAAGGCAGAGGATTAGCCTATTGAGCCACAGCGCCGGCTCGGTTAAATGTTTGATGGAAGTAGAAATTTATATAGTATCAAAGTAACTTCACATCCTTGGTTACAGAAGGGGAATAACCATAATGGACAATGTCTCATCATCTCATTATTTAATTTGAGAAGTTTTATGTCTTTCAGTTAAGATGGTCATATATAAAGAAAGATGGAACTCTTAGTTAAATTTAAATTCAGTTAAACAGCATAAATTTTAGTATAACTGTGTTCCACACAGTATTAGGGTATCTTGTATTTTATCTGGCAGAACCACTCTTGTAGCAATACAATGTGTGATACACTTATTGCATATACACACACTCTTCCTGTCAAACATTTTTAACTTGAACTTAAAATGATTTGTCTTCCTATATCAAAGATATTTTGAGGATAGATTAAATATTAAAAGACATAATAAGAGAATCAATATGAAAAGAAGAGAATGGGAGAGGCTTTGAAACAGCTCGCCTTTGTTTCTAGCACATCAGTAAAATCTTAATGGAAATGTGGAACACTAAATGACAGAAAATGGGCAATGGGGCCAGCGCCACGGCTCACTAGGCTAATCCTTTGCCTGTGGCGCTGGTGCCTTGGATTCTAGTCCTGGTTCAGGCATCAGATTCTGTCCCAGTTGTTCCTCTTCCATTCTAGCTCTCTGCTGTGGCCCAGGAAGGCAGTGGAGGATGGCTCAAGTTGGTTGGGCCCTGCACCCACGTGGGAGACCAGGAGGAAGCACCTGGTCCTGGCTTCAGATCAGCGCAGTGCGCTGGCCATAGTGGCCATTTGGAGGGTGACCAGGAAGAGACCTCTCTGGCTCCCTCCCCTCTCACTGTCTAACTCTGTCAAAAAAAAAATATCACATACTGATATACAGAGAGCATATTCAAGATGGGAGGAATTTGATGGAAAGGAATCTTCAGTGGAAACACAACTAAAAACCATAATCCTTTCGATGTTGCTTATTCTACCAAGATGAAGAAAGGAAACTTGATTACTTGATTGCAAAGTACAACACACATTGACAGGCTAAAATGAGAAATTATGAACAATTTAAGAACCAGAATATTCCCTACTGAAGCACAAGTACATGATTTTCAGTTGATTGAACATTTAATATGTCTCATAGAGGTCTCCAGTGCTTCTGGAGTTTTCACTTTTTAAATTTCTTACAGCATTTGATCAAAATCTCGCATTTCCAAATCATATCTTAAAACAACTCATCCATTAAAATCTACTTCTACCTCAAATATTATGTTACTTAATCTCAGATCTGAGGCTTTAACGTCATGAATTGCCCCTTACTGATGGATCCTTCTCGAGGACTTCTGTAAGCTGTTGTGCTTGTTCTGGCTGGGTGGGTCACCCAAAGAGGACACCTGTGCTAGTGTAGATGAGGAGAGTGAGGCCACACACAAAGGACCTAGACAGTCAGAGTGAATTCACTGATACAATTAAGCTCCACTTTTAGTTCTGCCCCTTCATTTATGGTTTCTGGTCTCAAGGGTTTTGTTAATTTTTTTAAAAAAATTACATTCTATTATAGCATGCATAATTAGTATTTTGCCTTAATTTTAATTTATTTTTACTTGTTTTATAAAGGCAGAGACAGAGAGATAGAAGAGAGACAGAGATCTTCTGTCAGCTAATTAACACCCCAAATATCCTCAACAAGCAGGACAGACACAGAGTGAAGTCAGGAACAGGAAATCCTCTCAGTCTTTCACATGATTGGCAAAGATCTAGTGCTTGAGTCATCACCTGCAGCCTCCCAGGGTGTACTTTATCAGGAAGTGGGATAGAAAGCAAAGGAGCTGGGACTCAAACCAGGCACTCCAGTACAGCATGCAGTATCCAAAGTGGCATTTTAACTGCCGTCTCAATAACCTGACCAAAGTCCTTTTTAAAAAAATGTATTGTGTGGCTGGTGCTGTGGCATAGTGGGTAAAGCCACCGCCTGCACTGCCAGCATCCCATAAGGATGCCAGTTCAACTCTTGGCTGCTCCCTTTCTGATCCAGTGCGCTGCTATGGCTTAAACAAGCAGTGGAGGATGGCCCAAGTCCTTGGGCCCCTGCACCCACATGGGAGACCTGGAAGAAGCTCCTCTCCCCTGGCTCCTGGTTTTGAATCGGTGCAACTCCAGTCATTGTGACCAACTTGGGGGTGGGGGGTGAACCAGCAGATGGAAGACCTCTCTCTGCCTCTCCTCATCTCTCTGTGTAACTCTGACTTTCAAATAAATAAATAAATCTTTAAAAATATATTGTAATTGTAAGCTTACTCAGGAGAAAATTCATTATTGAAATTGCAAAGGTGGGCAAAAGAGACTATTTACTATGTTCTGAGTGATAAAAGCTATGGGTTCCAGAATATTATATTGAAAGATACTTACTGTCTGCATGTAGATTTTATTTGTTCACCATGCTTATCGTATCTTATTGAAGATTAAAGAAGAAGTATTTCCAATCATCCAGTATAGTTTCATTTAGACCAAGTAGCAGTCCTGGTAAATAGGATGCAGTCATAGATGTAATCTTCCAAATTTGATTCTTAAAAGTTTGCAATCCTTTCTTCCCTGTAGTGTAATCAAGGAAGCTACATAGAAGTACAGCTGCAGGTGCTCATGCAGCAAATGGAACCCAGATGTTGGATCAATTGCCTGGGTAGGAGCAACAGTCCTGGCTGTCCTACAATGCACAGTGAGGTAAGTGAAACATACAGGAGGGAACTTCAAAAAGTTCATGAAAAGTGGAGTTAAAAGTATGAGTTTATTTTGGTACAATTTTTTGGCAAAAAGACATTTTCATAACTATAGAAAATGCATAATAATGGAAAGCACATGAATTTAAAATTAGTATTGCATCAACATAAGCTCATATTTTAGTTCCATTTTATGAACATTTAAAATGTTTTAAGGATTTATTTATTTATTTGAATGAGTTAGAGAGAGAGAGAAAAAGAGAGAGCACTTCTATCTCCTGGTTCACTCTTAGATGGGAGTTATACATAACTTTTTTTTTTTTTTGACAGGCAGAGTTAGACAGTGAGAGAGAGAGACAGAGAGAGAAAGGTCTTCCTTTTGCCGTTGGTTCACCCTCCAATGGCCGCCGCTGCAGCCGGCGCACCGCGCTGATCCGATGGCAGGAGCCAGGATCCAGGTGCTTTTCCTGGTCTCCCATGGGGTGCAGGGCCCAAGCACCTGGGCCATCCTCCACTGCACTCCCTGGCCATAGCAGAGAGCTGGCCTGGAAGAGGGGCAACCGGGACAGAATCCGGCGCCCCAACCGGGACTAGAACCCGGTGTGCCGGCGCCGCAAGGTGGAGGATTAGCCTATTGAGCCACGGCGCCGGCCAGTTATACATAACTTTTAATTTTATTATTTTAGTCGTTCCTTTAGGGTCTAGGATATAGGGTTTAAATGACAAAAGTTTACATTCAAATAATATTATATTGCTTTACATAATAGAACTTTACAATATAATATTTTTAACTTTTCTCCTCTTCACCTTCATATTATTTTCTTGAATATCTAATTTTAATTTATTTCATAAACCACATGATGCACCATTATATTTTACATACTCAATTATGATTTTTTACAGAATAGCATGATTTAGGTATAATGAACCCATTGTTTGAGTGCAATTTAATGATTCTTAGTAAAGTTCTAGTATATACAGTTTATACAACTAACACGAAAATTCTTTTTTTTTTTAATAAGATTTACTCATTTATTTGAAAAGCAGAGTTACAGAGAACCAGAGGCAGAAATGGGGGAGGGATTTCCATCTGCTGGTTCACTCACCAAATGGACATGTGCATGGCCGGAGCTGTGTCAATCTGAAGCCAGGAGCCAGGAGCTTCTTCTGGGTCTCCCATGTGGGTGCAGTGGCCCAGGGACTTGGGCCATTTCCTCCTGCTTTTCCACACCATTGCAGAGAGCTGTATCTGAAGTGGAGCAGTCAGGACACAAACCAGAGCCCATATGGGATGCCAGCACTGTAGGCGGTGGCTTTACCCAATACGCCATTTCTACCACTCACAAATTCCTTTCATGCCCATTTGCAGTTCATCCCATTGCCAACTTCAATACTTGGGAACTATACATATGCTTTCTCTGTCTATAGAGTACATTTTTTATAATACAACATGTAGATTCTGTGTCTAGCTTCCTTTACCTAGCATAATGCTCCTGAAATCCATTTATGTTGTAAATTGTATTGTTGAGTAATAATTCAACTGAATAGATGTACCATAATTTATCTATCTGCCCACTGGAAAACATTTAGGTTGTTTCCATTTGAGCATTAATAAAGCTGTTATGTATATTCATATCCAGAATTTTTTGTGAATGTTAAATTTTCATTTCCCTAAGCTAAATAAACTAGAATACTACTTCTAAATTATACTCATATGGTGATGTGTGTTTATAAGACACAGCCATGATTTTTTTTTCAGAGATGATATTTCAGCTTACATTCCAACAAGTAATTTGTAGAGGTCTAGTCACTCCAAATCCTCGTTTCCACTTTATATTACCTGCATAAACTTTAGTCAGTACAATAGATTGTGGTAGTATCTCATTCTGTCTTTAATCTGTATTTCCATAAAGGCTAGTGAAGTTGTTTATTTTTCATGTACTTACTTTCTATGTGTATATACCTACCCCTTTGTGAAATGCATGTTCATTCTTTGTGCATTCTCTAATTGGACTTTTTGCTTTTCTACCAATGAGTTTAGAGTGTGCACACACACAAACACACACACACACATACACATACTAGATACACGTACTTTCTGGGACATGCGATTTGAAAATGTTTTCACCCAGTTAGTAGGTAGTATTTCATCTTTTATTATAACAGTGTAAATGAATACTGAAACATTCAGCTATCATTTATGTACACAAATGATTCTCACTTCAGTCATCAGTTATTCCTATGTGTGCAAATTTTGAAGCTCTGTCATTTTGTATATATGTAAAATAATTATATATTCCTTGTCAATTGGTCATTTTGTCAATATGGAAACTTGTTTTTATCCCTAGCAATATGCCATGTTCTGAAATATATGTTGCTTCTTATCAATATATTCAGCCTTTCTTATTATGACTAGTGTTGGCAAGGTACTCTTTTTATTTTAACTTGTCTGTGTACTGTTATTTAATTTACTTTTCATTTCTTTTAGAAATTTAGCTTCTTTAGCAGATAGTTGGAGTGGATTTTTTAATTCAGTATGACAATTGATATAATAGGAATGTTTACAGCCTTTACAGTTAAGGTAAATCATCCATAAGGTACAATCCATATACATTGTACTGCCTATTTGTTGTTTATTTCTGTTTTTGCTTACAAGTTTTCTTTCTTGCTTTAGCTAATTGGGTTTATTTATTCATTGAGGATATATTTTGTCCTAGCTATTTGCTTATATACTTTAGCACTTTATTCTTTTAAAAATATGATTTTCTATGGATTAATATAACTGCATTTACCTTATCTCAGTCTATTTGTTAAACTTATTTGTTTACTTATGGGCATGCAAGGATAGAGATGAGGATGAGCAAGAGAATGAAAAAGTGAGAGTGAGAGAGCAAGAAAGTGAGAGAGAGAGGTCTTCCATCAGGTGGCTTTCATCTAAAATACCAAAAATTCTCATGGCTGGGCTGGGTCAAAAGTGGCAACTTTTGGAACTTGGAAACCTCCCAGTTTGAGGAATGGTTTTATCTTTGGCTTCCTAGTTTTACCTGATTCACACACAGCTTATTATCCATCAATACAGAGATCCTCATGCAAATTTCTTCAGTTCTTTCGTTGTGTAGCTTCCTTCTTCCCTCTCTATGCCTCCCAAATCACACCTGCTTCAGCCTCTGACAACACAAGGTCTACTCAGCCCAGAACCACCTTAGTTTCCCTCCCCTTGAGCTACCTTCTTCCAATATAAAGGGGTCCCATTTTATAGGGGTCTCTTTTGTTTTTCTGCTCAGGGATCATGGCCCAATGCTGCTGTTGTCCAGTATCTGTTTACATTGGTCTCATTTTTCTGTTTTCTTCATGTTTATGGTGGCAAGGTAAATTCGGTACCAATTACTTCAAGGCTCAAAATGAAGCTAGGTAATATTGTTTATTCTTTCATTAAAGTGTAGTACAGCAATACTAACTTTGAATCCAAAAATCTCCCTTTATTCTCAAATTTTTTTGTTCTTGCATTCTTTTGTGGGTGTAGATTGGTGTATTTGAAAAATTAAATAGATTTAATAATTAGAACTATCTCATTAGTGGTAAACTTTTTGTCCACCTTCTGTATAAATAGATAAAAATAGAGTCAAAATCTTTATCAATTCTTTTCCAATATAATTATTCATGACCATGAATTTTTTTCAGAATATTTTATGGTATATAATTAAATTAGTATAATTGAATGGAAGATTTTCTCAAATCTTTGGAGATGAGAATACATTTCTGTTGTTTTTCCACTTAAATGATAACTTTGATTTCACATAGCACTTCTATTTTGTACATTTAATAGAAAACAGTTGGATGTTATTTGTTGCTCAGCAGGTTAAGCTGCCTCTTGTGATGCTCACATCCCATATTGGATTGCCTGGGATGTGTTACACCTCTGCTGCCCCTCTAGATTTCTGCCTATGCACCTGAGAGGCAGCAGATTATGGCCCAAGTGTTTGGGTCCTTTTCACCCATCAAGGGAGATCTTAATGGAGTTCCTCTCTCCTGGCTTGTATTTGATCCAGCCCTGGTTGTTGTGAGCATTTGTGAAGTGAACCAACAGATGGAAGTTCATCTCGCTCTCTCTCCTTTTAAATACTAGATAAAAATAAAAAAGGCTCTAAAATATTTTAAAATCCTTACTTTTAGAATTCATTTTTTAAAATGACCAATATGAGAAGATCAATGCTATTTTAATTCCTTTGAATGTAATGATTATTTTATGTTCTGCTAGTATACATGTAGAATTCCTCCCCATTCAAAATTTGAGTGTGTTTCTAATATTTGTCCTCATGTATTCTACTCACTAAATTGATTTAGAATATAGCCAACTTTTTCAAATTACAGTATCACTTTATAGAGTGTGTATATATATATATATATATATATAGACCACACCACATTTCAACATTTGGGGATAATTACTGCATGAACTTGTGATGCTAAGTTGATTTTTTTTCTGACAGGCAGAGTTAGACAGTGAGAGAGAGACAGAGAGAAAGGTCTTCCTTCCATTGGTTCACCCCTCAAATGGCTTCTAAGGCCGGTGCGCTGCGCTGATCCAAAGCCAGGAGCCAGGTACTTCCTCCTGGTCTCCCATGCAGGTGCAGGGCCCAAGGACTTGGGCCATCCTCCACTGCCTTCCCAGGTCACAGCACAGAGCTGGACTGGAAGAGGAGCAACTGGGACAGAATCTGGAGCTCCAACTGGGACTAAAACCCAGAGTGCTGGCGCCACAAGCAGAGGATTAGCCTAGTGAGCCATGGTGCCAGCCGCTAAGTTGATTTTGATACAGTCCTCTTTTCTTAAAAGATCCAGGCATTTATACTTCTAGCAAATAAATATCTGATAAAAAATAGTTAATTTTGTACAAATCTTGTCTTAATGCAAGCTATTCATGTGTGCTCATGCAAAACTAATAATAGAGATATCATGGGAGCAGCTGCTATCCAAATGACTCAATTGGCAAACTTGTCAAAA